AAAAACTATAATACAAATGAAAATACTATTTAACCAAACAATATAACATTCTAAAACCTAAACCTTAATTGAAATATGTAGTACAAATTCAGATCAACTCAAAAATATGAATTTCCTTTCCGTATAACTCCCTATTGTTGTAGCTCAACCAATTAAAAAGATTATGCATGTTAAATAATAATATAAATTTATTATTTAAACCTTATTCGATATCTTAAACTTTTAAATTAATGAGATAATTTTTTAACATGACATCGGAACTTAATTGACCAAACGGTCATGAGTTCTAGACCCATCAACCCTATTTTTTTTATTAAATTAAAACTAATTTCAGCACAAAATTAATAGCGACGAGTTTGCAAGGTTTTAAATCTAAAAGACTTTTATTTGAAGAGATGGTTTAGAGTAAAGAAAAATCATAAAACCAATATTAAAATCTCATTCAACAATTTAAATTTTTTAATTAGTAAAGTGATTGACATGGTATTTTAAGTTTTGCTATTTTATTATTATTATTATTAGGTATTTATTTTCAGATTTCTTTTTTGGTTTGGAGTCTTTTTCCTGTTTGATTTACTTTTAGATTTTTTTTTCTTGTTAGGAGTTTAATTAGTTTAGTCTTTTTATTTTTCAATTTGATATTTATCAGCTAAAATTATAGTGGAATTTTAAACCTCCTCATAATAGACTATAACTAGAGTTTGTTGGTATGATTTCTTGATTGTCTTCACAAAGCCGGTGTCAATGATTTTTTTTTTAAAAAAAAAACTTCGTTAAATTGTCTCTTTTTTTTTTTTTTTTTTTTTTTTTTTAATTCTAACAAATGAATACATGTTATCTTATATATATATAAAAAAATCTCTTATTGTCACGTGATTTATGGGTTTTTCAACTCAATTACGCTGAATTGATAAATAAAACTAGTGTATAAAAACTCTTAAAATTGCTGTATTTGGTGATGATCTAGCCTCGCATGAGTTTATGTTTCCCCTCTGAAAATAATAACAATAATAATAATTGGCCACCTGCAAGCTGCAGTCTAGCGGTAAATAGGTAACCATATTGGGTTAAAAAAAGAAAAAGAAAAATCACCATCCAGAGTTTGTTCTACATTGTATGTATGCTTGTATTAAGCATATATATTTGTCAAACACACTCGGTATAATTAATTAAATGATAAATAATTAGACAGATAATTCCAGGAAAAATCCAATAAAGAATCCTCATCATGGTCCCAAGCTGCTATATATATTCTGGCGTGGCCCCAAACACGGGGTTAATGACCCACCATGGAATTTAGGGCTCAATGCGATGTAGGGAAGTGTGAGGTGATGCCAAAAGCCAAAAGGTGGACGAAATGCTGTATTGGCAAATCTTCGATGTAAAATTGAGGAAAAAGTACAAACAGAGCCACATGCAAAGAAAAGTTCTCCATTCCCTAAAACCTCTCCGCTCATTAGTATAAAGAACATTTATTCTGTCCAGGGACTTCTTATTTCCGATTCGTGAGGTTCTATAACCAACCAAATATCTGAAATTCGTTATATTTTTGAATCAATATGGAAAAACATTCTCAAGTATCACCCTATCACACAGACTTGTAATTTATATGACTCAGAGCTCGCAGTCCATTATTGTTTGTCCACCCATTAAAGCAACAATGAGATCAATCTGGATTTGCTACCTCTAGGATATTATCATGATCTATCTATCCTACGATTACCACTAACATTTTATGTCAATCTTGAGGATTACTTGATGGATAGTGCACTATCACTAATCTGTACTTTATGCAGAAGTTAGTTACGTACTTCTTGTTGCCACATGCAATTGTTAGGATATGAAAGGAGCCCGAGAGAAAGAGCCCATGTAGGATGGATAAGTCACAGTCTTTAATTGCTGTAGATGTGGTCCAATAGAGACAAAAGGAGTCGGACCACTTCTGATGGATCTCCCTTCTATTAGACCCCTCTAGCATAATAAATTCAAGACCAGTTCCTGCAATTTATCTTTTCGTTAAAAAACGAACAATAAATAAAACAAGGAAAGAACAGGTCACCGTTTTGTTTCCGTCAGTTTTTCCAGCTATTTCTAGAGGAAAAAATTGGTCCCAAGAAGTCTCGAAGAAATAATGATTGCTTGTAATCTGATTGTTGCTATCTCTGCTCAATTGCTGCTTTTTGGGCACATTTGTACAGGGCTCTATTCTCTCGTCAACATCACCATTTCATGGATAACAAAGCTGTCTTATTCGTCTGTTTTAACAGCTTTAAATTCAAGTAATGGGATGCAACAATTTTGAGGCTTACCCCTTGTTTTGTGAAAGTTGCAGCTTTCTCACAATATTTATAGCAAAATGGTCCACCATGCTAATAGAAGGCTTGTGAGCGTGCACGCCTATGTAACGCATTTGCAGTTTGCAGATTCTGTTAAGAAATCGACAGGCAAATTGTACTATATGCCAGTGCAGTCAACCAGTTTCACAGAGATGATGGGAGATTCTAATGTTAGAGAAGCAAACTTTCTAGGGGAATTGCGTTCTTAAAATCAAGCATCAATTACAACACTTAATTAGCATTACCGTTAATTATAACCCTCAAAAGTCAACCGCACAGCCTTCATAAGTGCCCTTAAACCCTGAGAAATCATCAAACACCTCTTGCGTCCCACTAGGTCAGGTAAGAATCACCACAACCTCCTTCTATTCTTCCAACTACCTTATCACAAAAGTTGTGTACTTGACGTTTCAAGACAAATAGTTAGATCTACACCCATCATATTCTTCAATGCTTCAGCACATGGGCTTGATGGGAAATTCCTCCATTGTCATCCAACGGTGGCCTTACTGCTACAATTAGATGAGGCAACAGCCGAAGAACACTTATGAGTTCCAATTATGAACAAGAACACAAACACCATCCAAACACATTGCAATAATATTTAACTTCTATCCTGGATACAAGTTTATCGAAAACCAATACCTGCATTTTCATCAAATTACAGTTATACTCTTCTTTTCTCCAGATTGAGTATCCTTGGGTCAAGCATCTACAAGAGGCTAAAAATCTAGCCTTCATTCACCAGTATACACGCATCATCCTCCAAAGTGAAAAAAAAAAGGCATTAAAACGTAAATACATACACAAACAAACAGAAGTTCAGAAAAATAGTCTGTAAATAAACACAAGCACTACAACTATGCACAAGTCCAGTATCTGCTTACACCAGAATCATTTTCTCCTGCCTTCAATTCGCATTCACTCACCTAAACTGGTGGTGCTGTTCTCGTATTGCTTGCACATTTCTCAATGATCTCAATGATCCCTTGTAATTATGCACTCAAGAAAGTGTGTATGCCTTGTAACCGCATATATTAAACATAGTAGCTTCATTTGAAATAGAATAGCATGCAACACAATAATACACAAGTCATTTAACATTGTAAGGAAACTCAGAAGGTAATCTACACAAATCATCAGAGAACTACTGTTGTAATCAATTCCTTGATATGTTGGAACTGCATGATAATCACTTCAAGTATGTAGTACATGATACCTCAAACATGTAGGCATGCAACACATTAATACACACGTCATTTGGCATTGTAAGGAAACTCAAAAGGTAATCTACACAACTCTTTAGAGAACTACTGTTGTAATCAATTCTAACACCACCTTAATCACATCTAAACTTTACTCCTTATTTCCTACATTGCATGCAAATGCACGCAGATGGACAAAGATAACTGACATAGAAGTCAGGTATTGTATCTGTTGCTACCCGATGTCGGACGGGACTTTAAAAAAAAATCTAGTTTAAGATTTATTTATTTACAAAATTATTTATAAGTTTAGAATCACCACCTAGTATTGAAGGAACTAGGAACCTAAAATGAGCACCGATTCAGAGATTCTAAGTTAAAGAGTTGATTATATTTTTGGAAAGATATTTATGCAATTGCATCCCTGGATGTCAAATTCAAGTTATATATATATATATATATATGTTTTGTGTTTTTGCAAATTACTAATATAAATTACAAAAATAAATGAATTAAAAAAAGACTAATTAAGATAAAAAAACAAAAACTTAAAAATAAAATAAGAGAAAACTAATAACTAACTAAAAATAAAAATCCTAAAATTTTGGTTATGACAGTATCCTGAGCTAAAGGTTTCACTTTACTTACCCTTCCAAAATCATGATATTAGATCATTACAACTTTCAAGCATAGGGAGTTCTAAATGAAATGTCTAGGATAAAATAGCAGAGTTCAAACAATGGACCCTTTGAAATAAAAATGAATGTCCTTGTAATAGCAGCAAGTAAATCAAAATAATCAACTAGTCTGCTCAGACTCAGCCAGTCAATGATCTCATGAAATATTGTTACCTGGCATATATGAAGACTACCATCAAGCAGGCAAATTTTCAAAAGTATATTGTTTCTTGCAACATAATAGAAAAAGGAAACCCCCCCCCCCCCCCCCCCTTCTTCTCTACCAGTTAATAGCATCAATTAGTTATAAGTTTAACGGTAAAACATCAGTATATAGTAGTGATGAGCCAGGCTCATTAATGTTAATATTCGAAGTCACGATCAATAGCTATTCACTGTGTAATGCATTAGCTCTTAGTTTTTAAATTTTGTCAGTATCATTATTACCAAGTCTTCAAGCAATACGAGCATATTTCTTTCTCACTGAAAACAGTCTAGGAAAGGACCTCCAACAGGCAAATAATGAAAACTTTTCTTCGATGCATTGAGATTGAAAATAAGAAAACAATAGTTGAATATAATTTTTGTTTTTGTTTTTTTTTTTTGTTTTAACTGCAAAATTGGAAATATATAATTCATCACCATATGAAGGTGAGCATACTTATCTGTTAGTTTTCCAATTTCTAAACTTATTTACCAATCGCAAAAGGCTTTTAAATAAAAAAAAGTTAAAAGATCTATAAGGGAGCTGGATGTATTTTAATTATTTAATAAAATTTTCATTAACCCTCTTGTTGAGAGGAACTCACAGATTTTGGTTGAGATTTCGACATGAGGGCTTGTGGACCCCTTACAAAGAAGGTATTGGAATTGTCTTCTGTTGGCATTGTTTTCCTGGTTGTAGTATCCTTTAGACTACCCACTAAATGGAGTCCAGAAAAATGGTCACCCCAGATATCATATGTATGTTCATCCCCCACCTTTTCATCTACTTCAGCACTTCTTTGGTTTAAAAGTTTTGCCCCAGGAGCTCGCACAGTGGGAGCAATTGTTGATGTTGATGACAAGGGAGAAGAGTAATGCAGACTGGGGGCAGGACCACCAGCACAAGGAAAAGCAGCACAAGGTCTAGTAAAGGTCTTGCTGGGCACTGAATGTCGCTCTTGAGTGGCAGCAAAGTAGTTGTAACTGTAGTATTTCATAGAACCCCTGGGCTCCATGACAACCGTCTTGGAAGCAGATTCAGAAACTTGAACCCTCCCAAACTGTTGGTCCGCCACTCGAGTGAATGGATTTCTATCCCCAATAGTGTCCACATCAGAAGATGGCAACCATAGTCGATTGGGAGTTGCAGATACAGGTGACAAAGGAGATGAAGGTGTCGAATTTCCGCTTTGACTACTCGAAACTTCAAGCAGTCCAGTTAAACATGAACTTGTACCCTTCCTCTTCCTCCGCCTTCTTCCTTTCTCTTTTCCTATCCTGACTGTAAGGTTGGGAGGTTGGGGAGCATCAAGGGTATCAAAATTCTCAACTGCTTCAGATTTTGACAGCAAAGATGGTTCTGCTTTATCCTTTTCAGTATAAGACAAAATATTACCTTGTTTGTGATTTTCTAGAGTTGACGTCAAATTATTAATGGTTAGCCCCTGTTCTAGAGCTCCATCATGACCATCAGCATGTTTACCCATAGATGCCTGATTGGAGGCCTTGTCTTCCCCAACTGATGTTAACAAACTGTCCATTCCCCTAGACATAGAGGGCTTGCTCTTTCTCTGGTTACGATGCATACGAGAAGCTTTTCCTGCACTTCTTGCAGTAGTAGTGGAGCTTTTCTCACTGTTATAATAGTAATCCTGGGAGCCAAAAGCAATCACTTGGGCAAATATGCAACAGAATATCAGAAACATGAAGGAAGAGACAAGGAAGACTGCTGTAGAGAATTTCTTCAACCGCATCCAGAATAATGATTTTTTACATAGACTGAGCATGTACAAAGGAAGACTTGCCTTCATGGGTATCACAAGAATTCCACTAGCCAAGGCCAGTTCAAGATCTCTGTTCACCATAGGTGCGGAAAAATCGGACTGGTATGAGATCAGAAGCTTTGTTGACTCCCCTGGTTCAAGAGAAAAACCTTGACAAGTGTGAACCATAAACCCATTCAACCCACACTCAGACCCAGAAATTTCAATACTTTTCACCTCAAGCGGCAAGTCTCCCATGTTCTTGGCATACAGCTCTTTAGACGAAGGCACAGAACAAGCATAAGCAGTCTCTTCCATGCTAAATAGCCCATCTGGAGGAGAGATATTTAGGGGCATTGGCAAGCTCAGGTTAAAGTCTATGCTCTGAACAGGCTCTGAACCATCAAGCAGGACTAGAGAAAGAAACCCTCCAAATCCTCTCAAAGATAACCACTCCACACCAGAAAGATTGTTTCTTATCAGGGCTGAACTTCTCCACCCACAACGATTTGAAGGGTGAAAGAATATCGGCCCAAAAGATGCTTCACCAAAAGGATGAACATAAGCTTCTGTTAGTGCACTCTCTGCCATTGAGAACCCATATCTAGTAGGAGCAGCCAATTCAGTATGAACAAAAATACTTGATGAAGGAGGCTCCATGGAACCATCTGTGCCCCTACACTCATCAATAATTTCTCCCGAGTTAAGAATGAGCTGCATTACAACAGGCTGTTCACTAGGATTCTTTACAGTGATCCACCTAGAGTGATAAGTTCCAACCTGAACCATTCGGAACAACACCTCATGATCATCAAGCACAGACATGCCACTTGTGGTACCTTGAGATTTCCAATTACCCAGTACAAAATCATCTGCTTCTGCTGTCTCCATTGCCTATAAATTCACATAGCCATGTTAGTCAGCCAGCAGGTATAACATCGAAATGAAAAAAAGAAAACTGAAATACAGAGAATGAAATCCCTTGGTTGCATGTGCTTGGGGAGCTGCCTCACATGAAAGGCCAGATGCTCTAGGATGTGTGTGCATGTATGCATTTGCAGACAGACATGCATTCTCTCTCAGACACAAGCACAAGAACATGCTGTGAGCATGTCCAAAGCACGTAAGAGATCATCCATTCTATATTCCAACAGCCATTAAATGAACAGAGCTTGAAGCCCTTCAAAACTAGGAAACTAAATGGCAATTATATTTAATTTCTCCATATACTTCCCATTTATCACCATCACCATCACTTACCATAAATGACTCGACAATCCTGAATAACACAGCTAGCTTATATCAAACATAAATTTTAACAATTTATTAAAAACGTAAGCCATATATAAATCACATTAACATATAGCTCTGTACAGGAAGCAAATATCTACTAAGGCCATACATGTAATAGAACTGAAGTTTCATTGAATGCCTACATGATTTGAAAATAGAAGTTCACTAAGAAAGCAATTTGCATAAGTTAAGGCCCCATCCAATTTGGACTGCAGTCAAAGTTTTTGAATCTAGCAAAGGAGAACAGAGTTCACTGCTATTATATTACTAGCTGTTCCCTCACATACTTATGCTATGCACGTAATCTTTGGTTTTTAACACATTAGCTAGCTGCTTATGCATAAAACACAGGCTACTGTGACTACTACTTCCATAACAACAGAATCACAAGAATCCGAGGCTTATGACAGAATAAACAGACAATTTGAAGAGAAACATGTACTAATACAATGCCAATGTGAAATATGAACAAGACCACAAATTGGAAAAGGATAAATCAAAATCAGCACACCTTTGTCTCTGACAGCAACTGCCTGCCACTGCCCAATGATCCTGTCCTTATATTGCCAGATTCTGTCCTTTCACCAGATTTTGGTGCTTCAGAGTGTTTGTTATATCCAATGAATGAATCCTTTTGATGTCTCAAACAAATATGGACTACAGCAAGGCAAGGAATTTCAATCTGAGGACTGCTCGAGTCATTTGTCAGTACAACTAATTTCCAGTCTTTGTTCATATTTGACATTTCAGATTGAGAATCATGTAATTCAACAAGTAGCTGTGTACATGTAATTGTAGAAACTTGTGTAACAGTGCCAGGGAAAAGTAGCAGGCCTTCAGTGTACTTGATCTGGAAAACCTTCGCTGCGGCAACTTCACTAATCTTGACAACACTCAACACATGATGAGCTCCATTTCTCAGTGAGATAGCAACACCAACAGTATTGCCAACATCATATGGAACCAGAGTTTCAAGCGAAACTGAACCAGCAATGCCATTGTATGCTACTTTTCCATCCAGTTCAAGTTCAAGTTCAAGAGGAACCATAACAGTATCAGTCTTGTCTTGAGGGGACCTTAGCAGCTGCATACAAAACACACCAAAAACATTTCCTTCAGATTCAAATGAGAAGTCCATCTCCATAATGGTTTCACTGCTGTATGGACCAATCTCCCAATTTTCTTGGGGCCTCGTAGCCATCCAGGGAAAACCAATTTGAGGACTTCTAACAACCAACCAATCCTTAACAGCCAAGAGGCTGAGCCCAGCAGGAACTTCCATGTTTTCTAAACTGCAGGTTGCTTCAGTGTTATGTGAAATATTCCCCTGAGAAACTGCTATCCATGCACTTACTTCCTTCACATAGAGGGTTTCATCGAAAGGATTAAACAAAGAAAAATTCTTCCTCAACCGTCCACTTGAAGGAACATCCAGGCTGAATAAAGGACTAATATTGTATGGCGACTCAACTGCATTGCCCTTGACTTGGACCAGGAATCCACCAGAGCTTGTTTGCAAGATCAAATGAGCTGAGGACAAGCCCAACCACCTAGGCCAAAATACGAAACAAATTGAAGCTATTTCGCCTGGTCCTAACAAAACCTCACTAAAGTTGCAGGGATAGAATTGTGCATTGGTACTAAATGGTTCATAGACATGTAAAATGCTGTCGTTACAGGTATTTGCTACTGCTAAGAATGCTACTGAGGGAAAATATAAATGCCTCTGTCCCCAATCAAGTACATGAGGGCTAATTTCTACATGGGGTGGAGAAACATCAAAAGCATTGATCAACTCGGACTTTTTCCTCAGCCTGACACTTGTGCTCTTCTGGTTTAATAAAGAAACTTTACATGAAGGAGGATCACATTGGTCAGCACTATCGGTTTGTGAGGATGATAACTCATCAACACCTTCTCTAGTGTTCGCAGAACAGGAAACAGTCTGGCCATTTACTAACTGGAATATACCATAGTCCATTGACCAGCTCTTGTTCTCTGCCCATCTGCTACCCTGAGTTGATCCTACAGATAACGAACCATCAGACTGACTCCCGGAAACTTCTAAAGCAGCTACTTTAAGCTTGTGCTCTTTAAACGAAAAACCAGGCAATGTTGAAAGAAAGCAGAATGAGTGAGAATTGGTACAAATATTCTCAAAATTTAAGTGGGTCATAGAACTTCCAGCTTCATAGCCCAAACTAGTATCATCAATGCTAATATCTTGAAATTCCCCAACATCCTCATCTCCATAGGATCCACCTGAATCATATTCTGCCCATTTTGGCATTCCATTCGTCAAGCATGGTCCACCTATAGCAATGCAGAAGAGGGTACATAACAGAACCAGAATAACAATGAATGCTCTGACCTGGTGAAACAATCCCCTGAAATCAACCACCAAATCAAATGCCATCAGCAATTCAAGAAACAACAGTAAAGTTGCAATTCCAAACTCAAGAAGATTAACAAAGTTTAAAAAATGAATAAATAAATAAGAAAGCACTATGAACAACAAAAATACAAAACTCAATTTGTTCAAATTATTGTAAAACACTAACTTCACAAAACTTTTCCCTTAAAAGAAAAACTAAATAGTAGAAAAGAAAAGACATCCCACCATTTTCTCATCAAGCAAACAAACCCAATATGATATATATTTAAAAAAAAAAAAATCAAACAAAAAACTAACTTTATTAATTACGCCCACTCAAAATTTCCAAACGAAAAACATCAATCCAACTGAACAAAAAAGAAATAACCAAAACGCAGTTTTACCATAAATAAAAATAATAATAACTAATACCCAACCACTGTAGTTCCTATAAATTTGGAAGCTACTCTTATCCTAATAAATATTTAGCCAAACATTCGTACTAATAACCCAAAAGCAGCTGTTACTGCTAAAGCAAGCATAAAAAAACCTATTCTCTATAACTTGCTAATAAAAAATCAATCATCAAATACATATCTTTATGACTCGAAGCCACAAACTTTGGTTAAAAAAATCCAATAATACTAAAAAAGGATCATTCTTGACAACAAATAGAAAACCAAGAAAGCAGAGAATACTAAAAACAGGAACAAATAAGAGAAAGCGAAAACTTGATTTTCAAAAACATTTTAAGAGAGAAGAGTTACCGGAGGTAGAACATGGAGAGGTTGGACTTATGCTGTTGTTGATGATGATGATGATGTTGAGGAGGTGAGACTTTCAAGGTGCAAAGGCCTTCCATGTCCGAGAAAGGACAGGAATCATCTGATGATTTTCTCTTCTTTTCGTTTTAGGGTTTGATTTTCAGAAAGAAAAGAAAAGGAGGATGGTTGGTTCGTTGGCTTTTAAGAAGACGAGAAGGGAAAGAAGAGAAGCAGCAGCACCTGATATGACTGACACATGATAAAAACATAAAACAAAAAGCGAACGAATGAATGGCTTTCAAAAACCAGACCTGCCTGTAGGCAGAGAGCGAGTAGACCACTGTCCTCTTACAAGTGAAATGAAATGACATCCTACTGTGTCGTTTTGCTGAAAATTAAATTAAAAAAAAAATGATGTTGAAAAATAACAAGTTACAGGATAATTAAAAAGAGTTTTGGTAATTAACAGCATGGCTAATCTTCTTCTCCTCCTCCTCCTTCTTTTTTTTTCTTTTTTTTTTTTTGTTGCGATAAGGAGAACTTAAATTCAATAATCACCATGTCAGAAATTAAATTTCTGCTATATATTTTTCTTTCTGTCATAAACAAAGTCAGAAAGAAAATTTAAGTTTCATTTGAGTGATAAAACAAATTAATTAAAATATATTTAATTAAAATGTGTTATTTTTGTGGATTGTAGGCGAGAAACATATGTGATGTATAAATATTTTAAAGATTTACAGTGATGTTTAGTCTAATGCATAACAAATTTAATTTTATACTAAAATTAAAAAATTTGTCATAGATAGAAATCATCCAACTCGGTCGAGTTGTTAAACGTTAAAAAATTAACGTTAATAGTTAGTAAAATAAAGAAATGAGTTACATTACCATGACGAATAAAATTGGCTATAACTATAAACATAAGAGACGATTCTAATTTTTTCTTATAATAAAGTTTTTTTAAAATTTAAATACTTAGTAAGTATAAAAAGATTGTTATTACTAAACTAACAGTTTATTAATAAATTATTACTTATTAATAGTTAGTGTCATACACACACATACATATACATATATATATATATGGTGCTCTACTTTATTAAAATTTTTGTATTGAATATGCTAATATCGTTATACTTTAATGATAATTATGTGATATTATAACAAATGGCATCCACAGTTGAGATTTATTGGTTACAATCTCACGATTGTTTAAAACTTTTTGAATTATAAAAGTAATTTCAGAATAAAAGATTGGTTTAATAATTAAAAACATCTACTCAAAACTAAAAAAAAATAAAGTTAATGAATTTTTATAAATATATCAATAAGATATAGATGCATTTTTGGCGATAGTCCTTGCAATGGCTTGAAAAAAAATAATTTCAATTAAAATTTTTTTATTAGGATGTAAACAGATCCTGAAATGACGGAATAAATTATTTTTATAAAGGTAAGGTAAATAGGAACCTGGGGAGATAAAAACAATAGGTACGTAGGTGCGGCTGATCTAATTTTTTATTAATTAATTAGGGGTGAATGATGGGACAGTGCTTTGTGCTCATTGAAATGGTGAATGGTGCTTGACTAATATTATTAATTCATTAGGAGTGAATGACTTTTTTGGCCTTGGGTGCTGTTGACGTGAGCTAAGAGTGTGAATAGCAGCTGGATGCGTTTGGCATGAGAAGGGGACACCATGGTACCGTCGTGGTCCGAGCCCGTCTACGCCGCCCGGCTCGGCATTCAAAGTTCCAGGCGGCGTCAATCCTACCAATTCGTAGATAACCAACAAGGGTAGCTTTGGAATGACGCGATAAAACCAAATCTTACATAGAGAGGACAAATGCAGTGTAAGATACTCTCGGACGAAAAATACGACAGCACTCAAGATGTTAGAACCCCACTAAATCACAGCCAAAAATATCGATCTGTTTTTTGTGTTTTTTTTTAATTGCTAACATGTCTTTAATTCGAGGTACACTTTGTTGATATTTTTAATTATTGCTCTTGTTTGTTTATGCAATTTAATTATTTATTCTACTGTTTAATTTTACTTTAATCTGAAATTTTTAGAGGAGTTTGTTCATGTGTTAGTACCTAACATGCATTCTAAGTTTCATAGTTTTAAGAGTATATTTACTATTTATTTATGATTTATTTAATATTTTTATTATTTTTATTATTAATGTAGTTTGATTATGCAATTTAATTACTTAGCTTAATGTTTGATTTCATTTTAATATGAGATTTTTATGATTTGTTTATGTGTTGGTTCTTAGCATGTATTTCAAGTTTTATAATTTAATAAGTCCATTTATCATTTATTTTCTATTTCGTTATTATTATGTCTTATTTTAATTATTAGTGTAGTTTGTTTGTGGAATTTAATTAGTTGGATCAGTTTTTAACTTTTGATTATTCTGAAATTTTTAGGATGTACTCGTGTTTGTCTATATTCTGTGAGTCAAGTTTCATAATTTTATGAGTTCGGATTCTATTTATTTATTATTATTATGTCATTTACCTTAATTCTTAATGTATTTTTTTTAGAAGTTGATTTTAATTCTAGCATATTTTTTTATCATTTTAATCTGAAATTCTTAGGATTTTGCACCTATGTTGATTCTTGATCTATATTTTAATTTTCATAATTTTGGGAATTTATTTGTTATTTATTTATAGTTTATTTTAATTTTTCTATAATTGTTAATGGGATGTATTTACTCTTTAGTGAATAAGATTAAAGATCGTCAAGTCTTCTAAATTTCAAAGATTAATGATGATTTTTCATCAAATTCATCTTATGATAATTAGAAAATTCAAGTCAATCTAACGAGCATCCTACTTAATAGGGACGTATGTTAGTCTTGACACCTCGATATATATATATATATAATACAAACAAAAAAAAAATCAACTAAAATAAATACAAGTCAAACATCATTAATTAATTAGGTCATTTCTTAACATGTCGGTTATGTCGAACTTAATTGAATCTCATACTAAATTGACAAAACTCTCGATTTCAAGGCCCAATGCCAATTTAATAAGATGCCACGACCAAAAAATAAAAAATAATTCGATTTGGACAATAAACAATTTTGAAAATAAACTTAGGAAATAATTTGACAAAATTAATTCTCGGGAGGTATATTTTTAGAATAAAACCAAACATGATACTTTTTTTTGGAAACGGTGATTTTGGATGATCATTATCTTTCTAGAGACATAACCAATTTTTTATCGAAATCTCCGAATTCAATATCTTCCTTAGGTTTTCTATTTTTAAAATACTAGGTAACGACTTTAAAACCTATATTAACTCTCATCCCTCGAACCAAACTAAAATTAAACAAAATTATTTTTTTAAATGTCGAATAACAACAAAAAAACATGGATTTTTTTAAAAAAAAATTGGATAAATAAAAATTTTTAGAGTAAAAAATAGGTTATGAAAAATCTCAAAACTAATAGTAATGGCCATATAACAATTAGTAATTATTGTAATGAGTGTAAATAGTAATTAAAGTTTTTTTAATATTGTTGTAACTTTTTTTTCATTTAATAGCCAATGAAAATATTAAAGAAGCCAATCATCGTTGTTTATGTCATTTTAAAAAATTCTAGTAATTATGACACATGTCGGACGTTAAAGCCTTCGCATATCACTACATACGAGGTAATTAATAACAACAACAACAACAACAATTCAATTAGTATGATCGCATATCAAGTGTTATATGAATCACATCTCATTACAATGCATATGTTATTTATATTTAAAACATTAACTATAATGTGAATTTTTTAGCATTTTAAAACATCATTTTATATCAATAATTTTTCATTTATAGTTATATATATAAAAAAATAATGTTTCCATTTATAGCTTTATTAATTATGCATGCTTGGTTTGAATGCATGATAATTATTATAAAAATTATTAAGTATAATGTCCAATAACGATCGGACGCTACTTTTCATTTCATTGCATCAATTTATTTGACTATTATCTTTACATATCATGAAACCTTCGAAATGAAGACATTATTGCAAACATCAAAAGAATCTTTTTTTTTAAATAAGAAAAATTAAAATAAATAGATAAATTATGGAGTCTCATTTCCATAATGTGATAAGACACAAAATTTTTTTTCCCATATAAGTAAATATTAAAAATTCTCAACTGGAAAATAACCATTATTAATGTTCTCTTTTTCCTCTACTTTTACTATGGTCTTTATTTGAAAAAAAAAAAAAATCATATCTTTA